ATGTAAGCATTTTTTCTAAATTATTTTCTTTCAAAATGTTATTCATATATTTTATTTAGGAGTAAAATCGTAAGCAACAAAAAACAAATTGCGCGGTTAGTAGAAAAAATGGAAGAGGACTTAAACCTGGCAAGGAATCTGAAATTCTGGATAAACCTAAAAAATGTGTACATATTATATAAATAATAAAATAAAATAGGTACATAAACATACATTTTGTTGTCTAAATCCAATGGATTAGTTGAATATCTTATACGTCGTCTTTGAATAGCTTGCGTTTCTTCACTTACTACAGTTTCTTCACTTTCAAAATATAATGCACGCGACATTTTCCCGATATATGTATATTTTTATTTTACAAATTTAACAGAAAATAATTTTCTTACAACAACTTTTTAAAATTCAAAATAGTTTTAAAAATTTTTTGAAAATAACTTTTGAAAGAAAACAAATGTCATTAGAAAAAAAAACTTTTTCTCCAATTTACAAAAACAAAAATTTGTATGAAAAAGCTTCTTTTAATCGGTTGAAATATTTTTATCGGTATCGGTTCATAATACAGAAGAAACCTAAAACCGATTAGAACTGCCGATAATATATCGGCCGATACCGATGTTCATAATAGAGGGGATTATTGTCATTTTTATCAATTAATTGAACGAATTCATTCTATTTAATTTTAAATTTTTTTTTTTAATTAAATAGTTTAATATAAATTTGTACAAAAAAAAAATAATAATTTAAATAATAAATTTAAAAAAAAATAACAATTTTTTTTCCATTTATTCTTTAATTTTCAATTTATTTATTTCAAAAATTTTTTTATATATTTACAATTTTTTTAACTACAAATCGCTTATAAACTTCTCAAAGCAAAAAAAAACTAATTTGAATCTTTTTAAAATTAATTTTCTCTTTTTTTCAATTTGGTTTTTGTTTCATTTTTTATTCAAAAATTTCAGTTTAATTATTTCATTAAATCTTAATATTATTTGTTTCTTTTTTTGTATATTATATACATATGTATTTATTTATAATTTAATTTAAGAAAATATTTGTAAATTATATTCTGACATTTTATTATATTAAGAGTACATCACATTAATAATTTTATTAATTTTGTTTTTAAACAAATTTATTTATTTTTTTTTTCTTTTATATTGTCCATAATTTTGAATAAATTTTGAATGTTGTCAAATTTTATTAATGTGTAAAATTTCATTCACTCTTGTTCCACCAAAAAAAAAAAATTACAAAATATAACAACCAAAAATGAATTTATAATGTATAAAAAAAATACTATATACTATATATATTTTCCCCCAAAAATATGATAAACCCATCTCACAATCACCCCAACCCCTCTTTTACTCTACGGTCTTTCTATACAGATTTTGTATATTTTATTCCTATAATATTATGTTTTTTATTTAAATATTATGTACAGTTATAATTATTTCATTTATAAATTTACTTTTATATTATATAAAGAGCACAATTGAAAAAAAAATGTCAGAAAAGCTACTAACTAAATATTTAGAATCTCTATTTTCTTTTCAAATATTCGTTTAATTACATTTTCCTTTTTCAATATATTTATAAATCATTTTTTTTTTCTCTTGATTTTTTATGCTACAATCTAAATATTCTTTAAGTGTTTTTTGATATAATATTTTAAATATTGTATTTATCATTTAAAAATCTTGAAAACCGTATAATAATATCATTTCCATATATAACAAAAATATTTCTCATATTTTCAAATTTAAGTTCAACAATTTAGGAAATGATCATTGAAATAAAACACAAATTATTCCACATTCGTTTAAAAAAATATAACAAAGGACTAAAAACAGGGAAGCCATAACATAATTCAGAAAAAAAGGAACAAATTTAATTTTTATTTATGTTAATATTGTATTATAAAATTACGATAATACTGTATTTTGATTAAGTTTCAAAGTACAATGAAACAAAAATTTCACTTTCATTAATTTTTAATATGCAACCATATAATAATTAATCTTCGATTTATAATGATTATGGAATGTATATAAGATACTGAAAAAAAAAATATTGCTCATTAAAATATATGAACTGACCAGACTTCAAAATTGAAGTAATACGGCTATTAATGCATGACCCAGGTTGTAAATGATATTATACATGTTCAAATCACAGCTATTAAATTTGATTTCAATAGAAATCTCTTAATTTTGATTTAAATAGTAAATATGTATGCATTTTGGAAATTAAAGTTTATTTTCAACAAAATACGGAAATCATCTCTTAATAATAACAATCAATTGTTAAATATTATATTTTTAAAATACTATTCATTTTAAATTTGAAGATTACATACTATGTACATAATTTATATAACAATAATGTATATAAAAGGAAAATAATTTTCCAAAACAATAGAGAGGAACAACAATTCTTAATACCATAATAAAACTTTCATTCTCATTTCTCTTTAATTTTTTTTTTTCTTATATAATATTTAATTTTTCATAATTTTCATTTTTAAAATAACCATTTTTTTTTTAAATTAATTTGAAAAAAAAACCAAGAAAATTTTTTTTTATCTTAAATTTATAATTGAAGATATATAAGGACCCTCATAGAATAGTAAGGTACATTGGAAATGATTCTATTTTATAATAATATAACTCAATGTCTTTTATATTAATTGTAATATTTCAAAATAAAAATGTGTTTTAAAATTAAGAATATAAAAATTTTATATATATATAATTTTCTATTTTTAATTTTGTCTTCTTCTAAAACAAAAAATACAAAAATTGCAAAAAATAAAAATATTTTTTTTTATATTTTAATTTTATATTTTTATGTATATTTATACATGTATATAATATATACATCAGTAAATACTATAAAGAAAAATATAAAGCATAATATTATTATTATAAATTTGTAAATATAATATTTTAAAGTTCCTTTTCCAAAACCTATATATGTATATATATATATATATAAAGAAATATATTTATATAATTAAATAAAAAAAAAATTATTAAAAAAATTATAGCTATCATACTAACAAAATAGTATTTTATAGTATTGATTCCTGTTTCAAATCAACAGAAATATAATATTTAAATATAAATTATTGTATAATATTTTATAAAATATTAATTAGAACTTGAAAATAAAATTTTAACAAAAAGTATAAAATATTATAGTTTATCGTATAATAAATATTTTTTAATTAAATTTTCTATATTATTATTACTATAATTTAGCGATTTATTTTTAAAAAAGATTTATAAACAAATAAAACAATTAACTTATTTACTTTTAATATATATGTTTATATATAAATATATTTATTATGTATATATATTTAATTATGAATATATTGAATATGAATTCAATTTTTTCCTACCTTACTATAATGAGGAAAATAAATAATATTTGTAAATTTTATCAAAATTTCATCTTTTTTTTTTATTTTGAATTCACATTAATTTTATAATTTAATATTATTAAAAATATTTATTAAATTTTTTCTGTTCCTTTTTATTTTTTTTTTTGTTTTTTTTTCATTAAAAAACACTTGCTAAATTACACTAGATATATATGTATATATATTTTTCTATTATGTATATATATTTTTTTTATTTCACAAAAAAACTTATATATATAAAAAATATGCTTATGAAATTTTTTTTTTTTTTGTTTTATTTACATAATAATATGTAAGTGTGAAATGTCGTACATACACTTTCATATCTATATATGTAATTATATTTTTGATTGTATACAAATATTTCGAAGTTTTGAAATTTTTGCTTAAAGTGCTTGCTTGCCATTTTAGAAAGCTTTTTCTATAATTTAATTTAAATTTATATAAAAAAAAATAAACTATTTATTTATTTCGTTTATTCTATTGCATGAAACTGAATATATATAAATATTAAATGTATGTGGATTTTATTGTAATAATCGTGTATATTAAATTAAAAAAAATTTATAAATTAAAAAAATTTTAACACACAAAAATAAATAAAAACTACTTCTTTTTCTATTAATTCAATTTTTTTTTACATTTTTTAATATAATTTTTTTTAAATATATTATTATATTAAATTAAAAATATATAAATATAATATTATCAAAATGTGTAATTTCAAAAAGAAGAAACATAAAAAAATAAAATGAAATTTTCTGAAAAATAATTTATAATAAATAAGGCACTATAACTAAAAAATTTATTAACTCTATTGAATTCGCGATAATAAAAAAGTATACTCGCGTACCCGACTTAAAAGAGAAGAATTAAATGTTATTGATCATCTTAAAACGCTCTTTCAATACACTCACTTAATATCACTCAATATCTTAATCTATTCATGTACGTGCATTTGAAACAAATCAACTTACGTTATATATTGGATGACATTTACTGAGATGACATTCAAAAACTTAATAAAAACAGATATTAAATTTTTTTAATTTTAATATATCTTTCAATAATTGTGTATAATACATATTTAAAATGAATAATTAAAGTAAATAAATATATTTTTTTCTTTAAAAAAAAAGAAATTATACCTGTTTAAAACTACAAATTTGCTAAATTTCCTTTGATACATTGTTTGTTACAAAATTAAAATAGTTATTATGTACTTACATATGTACATATTTTGCATCTTAAAACTTTTCTCCCAACATGAAATTGGCATGCATACAAAAGATTATTAACGTAATCAAAATATTTAATTCTTTTCTTCTTTAATAAAAAAATTTTTTATTTTTTATTAGAAAGTTTTATTTTTACGATAAGAACGCAAATTAAATGAAAATTTAATGTAAATTAATATTTTTCAGGAAAATTAAAATTAAAATTAAAAAAATTTTTGGCAAAAAAAAATTTATATTTGTCTAATTTTTTTTTTACTTTAAGATATGTTTAAGCGTTTTATCGAATTTTTTAAATTAAAATATTAATCTAGTATTTTTTCTCTGTAATATAGCCAGTCCCAAGTCCCCGGATGGGGACGATCACTGTCAGCGGGGGAGTCCCACCCGAAAACGCACTCGATGCTTTGTTAGATGAATTGCAAACATTTGCAAAACCTCAAAATATTCAAAATGAAGTAGTAAGTAAAATTCTATGTTAAACGTAATAAATATATAAAAGTCATCTCTAATTATTTTCAAATAAAATAAATTTTTTATTTAAAAAAAAATATCTATACAATAGCGTCCTGACGATTCTACTTCTGATGACAGTTCACAAACATTACATAACACAATTACAACACAATTATCACAATCCAGCTTATACACAGCAGAAATAAATCAAAACAATTGTAATCCAAATACATTATTACAACCAAATCCAAATGGTCCAATGGGTAGCTTAAGGCGTTTACATTCATATCCAAGTGGTTCAGATACAGACACAAGTCCACCACAACCAATACGACCAGTTGGTAAGCCACCAGTTCCTGAACGTAATGCTGAATTATTAACAAAAGTTGGTAGTAAAAGAATACCACCACCCCCACCACCAAGAACAAGTTCACGAAGTCCTTTGGCAAGTCCAACTAGCCCAAATGTTCCTCAACGTTTACCATCTGTTAATGAAACAGAACAAATTGGTAATGGTAACAGTAATTTAACTGGATTACAGGATGGAAATGAATCAAGTGGAAATGAATCAGGTAATGATCATGTTCAAAGACAATTGGCTTTAGAAATGCGCCATCAAGAATTATTAAAAAAACAAAAGATGTTACAGGAACAATATGCCCGATTACAACAAATGAGTAAAAATGCTGTTGCATTACAATCAACTGATATTATGCAATTAAAAAAAACTGGCAGTGAATCAAATCTACCTCAAAAAATGGGTCTCAATATGTCAGTTACAGGTTCAATGAAAAATCTAAATTCTGAATTAAATAATGTTAATGAAAAAAATGAAAAAAATTTAGCCAATTCAAATAATATTAATGAGGAGCAACACAATATTGGTAATAACAGTATAGGTGGAGTCAATGAAGATAATGTAAAGCAGATAAATTCAAATAATACAACAGCACAACAACAGCCACAACAAACAACCACTAATAAGATTTATGAAACGGATATACTATAACGCCAAGATAAATCGGCATGGAGTGAAACAAACATAGATTAAAATACAAGTCAATATACCTTATATACCCATTTTCATTTTAAATAAATTTTCTTTTTAACTTGAAGAGAGGACATTATTTGAAATAAAATATATTTACCAAAAAAAAAGGATGTTTCCAAAATTATATTTTATAAGAAATTAAATTTAATAAATACGCAAAGCGCATGAAATTTAAAAAAAAAAAAAAAAAAACAAATTAATACTTGGCATATTTCAGATTAGTTAACCAATATTAGCATATAGACAATGCATGATCAAGGTGTAAAATAAACCTTGAATATGATAACTAATATCAATATGTTCACTTATATTTGGTACAAATTTCCAGTTTCCTAAATATTGTTATTGTAACGTGCTTTACAAAAACATTACTTTCCACTAAAATTCAAAATGTCCTCACTTTAAGTTGGAAAAGGTATATACATACGCTATTATGATTTTTTGTTATAAAAAATATTATTATAATACAAAATAATATAAATGATATAAAACATTACCTACATAAATTACATATTTAAAATTTCAATAGAAAAATAATTTTTCAATATAAACGAAAGCAAACCAATTTTTACATGTTTTCTGTAATTAAATAAAAATCAAGTATAAAAAAAATATTGTAAAATATTATATAATTAAACGATAATATAACAATAATGTTAAATTACAAAAAAAATAAATGGAAAATTAAATACGCGTATCGTTTATCTCGATGCTATATGATTTTCAGCATCCGATCAGCATAAATATTGCATAAGTTTTGTTGAAAAGCAATATAATTAACTAATTTTCAACAGAAAAAAATGTAAATGCAATATATTATGCTCAAAAAATAGCTAAATATTAAAAAATTTAATAAAAATTTTTGCTTTAATATCAAACGAAATTATATATATATGTATGTATATTTACAGTAAAATACATTACAAACATAATTATATTACAATTGCCAAAAAAATAAGTAAAATGTGTTTTGGATAACAAAAAATATAATTGTTTAAAAAATTCAAATAAATAGAAAACTAGCTGTTGTTGGACCTTAACATGTAATTTTCTCTAATTTTTTTTATATTTTTTAATTTAAAAATGAAAACTGATCAAGTGCCAATATAATATTATTTTATTTTTTTTTTAATTTCTATTTTTCTTCTATTATTTTTATTCGCTTTGATTTCCATAGAGAAATACAATATTGAATTAAATAAATAAATATAAATACGAATCTCACTTTAGAACGATAATTTATAATAATATGTAATAGATTTTATATCATCGAGTTTAATATAAAATTTTATAACAAAAAAAAAATATAAAATAATTTAATTGTATACAATTTAAATACATTAATTTCATAAGTATTTAAATATGACGAAAATTTTTTCCAAAATATTTAATCGTAACCTTATTCGATTTATGATTAAAATATTTAAATTATTAAATCATTTAAATTTCATCATTTAAATATCATAAGAATTTTTCATTTTCACTTGTTTTTCGAACAGTGCCAAAAGTTTCGAAAATAAATTTAAATTATATCATAAATTAATATTAAATAAACGTTAATAAATTAAATTTCATGATTTAATATTTTAACGTCTAGTAATATTAAAAACAAAATTACTTTAAATTTTATAACAGAAATTTAAATTATTTGCAACAATTTTACTTTACTTAATGGATAACAATTAAATAGGCCTAAATAAAGTTATAATTTAAATTTTATATATATTTTTTCTTTTCAAATAATTTAATTACAATATTATATTTTAATAGGTAACATAATATTCTTACATAACACAAAAGCATTCGAAATCAAAAATAAAAGTTTTATATATCTCAAACATAAAATTATATACACCCTTAATATACAATCAATATAATTTTAATTTATAAAAATGTATTTAAATATAAAAATATTATAAAATTATACTTATACGAATATATAATAATTTTTCAGTTTTCATTTTTACTTTATTTAAAAAAAGAAATACAATTTGATAAAAAACGAAAATATTAATTAAATAAAATATACAACAAAAAAAAACCTAAAAGACTTACTTACATTAAAAAAGAAAAATTAAAGTGTAGTTAAATTTTTTTTCTACTTATTTTAATTTTATTTTTCGATATTCATAACATTAAGAGAACATAAAAACAAATATGTATAAAATTATGTTCATTATTATATAAAGTAATATAAAAAAAGAATATCATATTTAAAAGAATTAAAAGAAATATTTAAAAGATAATGAAAAAAAAAAACATTAACATTTTACATTATAGAGAACGTACATTATATAATAAATTATAAATGGTATATATTAAATGTATACATGATTGTAATACAAAAAAAAAGAAACTGAAATAAGTATTTAACATGCAAAATTAAAAATTTAGATAAATTATTCAAAACAACTACATTTATTTAATATACAGAAAGAATTATATAGTATGTATAAAATAAATTAAAATAGAAAATATAAAAAAATTATAAATAAATGATCGTATATCGTATGATTGCTTTTTACATAAATATGTTAAAACAAAAAGAGAAAAAAAGCAAAAAAAAACAAAATATGGAAATTAAAATTTAAATAAATAATATATGAAAATATAAAACGTTATATATATCAACATATATATACATATATATATTATAATTTTTTTTTAGTTATAATTATTATTATTATTAATAATAATATAATTATTAAATTTTTTCTAATTTATTATTGAAAACATATGCATAATACCATATGAACATAATATATATATACACTATGAAATCAAACGTGAATTAAATAAATTAAATAAAAAAAAAATAATAAAATATTATTAATATATGATAATTATTAAAAAGAAATAAAAATTAAAAATTGATAAATATTTTGTAAATACATAAAACATTATAATTATTATTACAATTATTATTATTATTATTACAATTTATATTATTATTATAATTATTATTATTAATTATAGTATAGAAATTATTTAAGTTTAAAAATAGTGTTGTTTTATATTATTATTAAGAAAACCAATGTATAATCAAAAATGAAAACAAAAAAAAGAGAAAAAGTAAATGAAAAAATAATCGAAAAAAATAAAACAAAAACCCAAAAAATAACAAATAAATTGTAGCACATTTAATATTTAAAGATTTTTTTTCTATTTTATAATTAATAAAGTTGAACATTTAAATTTTATTTAATTACTCAATAAAATTATTCAACTTAATATTGTCATACGCATACATATAGTTGTGTATTACAGAAAGTGCTGTATTTAAGTAGCATTTTCTTTATTTTTATTATTTTTATAATTGGTTTTCCTTGTTTTTTTGTGATTTTGTTTATTAAAAATATACAAGAACAATGAAAAAATAATAATACAATCAATGAAAATATTAAAAAAAAGGGCTATTTTAAATATTAAATAATATATTATATTATGAAATCAATTGAATTCAAAAAATAAACTATAACTCAATAATATATGAGGAATAGTTTAAATTTTTAAAAGAAAATAAATGCAAGAAATTTTGAGAAACAAAAGAAACGGATTTATATGCATTAGATTTAAAAAAATAAATCACTAAATATTATTACTTATTTTTTTATAAATTTATTTCGAATTTATTTATTTCAAATTTGAATTCACTTTAAAAATTAAAAATATAAAGTAAAAAATTATAAACATTTTAAATTAAATTTCTTCATAGTAATACAGTTCAATAGGAATACAGTTTTAATCAATATTAATTTTATTTTATTATTGAATGAAAAACAAAACTGAAAAATAATATTTTTAATATATTTTTAAATTATAAGATGTATTTTAATTAAATAAACAACAGGCCTCAGGAAAATTATGTTCAAAAATATTTTTAATTAATATTCAATTCAACAATAGCAGTAATAAAATATTATTACTTAATTTCACTGATAACAATTTAATAACATTATTAAATCTTGAATATATAAAAATTTATTTCCATTAAATCCATTAAATTTCTAAAGATCAACATAAAATTTTTTATGTCTTATCCTGAGTAATGTTTAATTTCATAATTTTCTAGAAGAAAATATAATTGTAATATTGCGATTACTTTTACAAATTACTTAAATATTTTAAATCTTAATTCCTTCTATTTAAAAGAATAGTCCATATTACCAGAAAAAAAATAATATCTTTAATTATATCTTTCAACCTCGCAATTTTATTTCTAATAATATTCAATTTATTTTAAAATTTTTTAAATACATACGATAATATTTTACATTTGTATTTTATGGTTCAAAAATAATACAAAAGAATCTCTTTAAAAAATTTCTTATTTATTTTGAAATTACGTAATAATCATTTAACATTGAAATATAACACTACTATATAAATTTAAACGTACCCTTAATATAAATCAAAAAATAATTTTGTATATATATTGTTAAAAAATTATAAATAATTAAGAAAGTACTCACTGTACTATTAAATTTGTCATAAAACATATGTAATTTATTTTTCATTTATAATTTCCGTTTTTATTTTTTTCTTTTTGAAATACAAATATACATATATTACATTTTATAAAAATAAACATTATTTATATAAGCACATATGTTATGATATATACATATTATATGTAAGAAACTTTAAAGAAAAAATTCCCATTTAAAATTCGTGATTTTAGATAAACCGAATCCAAAATAATTTTTAAAAAAATAAAATAGAATGCGCATAAAATCGAGTTTTTTGCATTTAAAAACAAAAATTTTTAAAAAAATATTTTATAAAAAAAGAAACAAAAAAATAAAAGATATAAACAAATTTTGTACATAAAATTAAAAAAAAAAGGAAAAAAAAACAAAAATGAAAAATAAGAATTTGTATAATTTTTTATATTAATTTAAAAATTTAAAATAAATAAATCCAAAATGTTATCCTTCTACATAATTGAAGGCTTCATTTTTAAAAATTTAAATGTTTCAGTTTTTTAGTGCAACATTATTTTATAAAAAAAAAATATATGTATAAGAAAATTCTGTATAAATAAATATTAGTAAAAAAAAGCATAATAATATCATTAATTATTTAAAACGAAAAGTAAAATTTGTACACTATAAATAAATAAAAAAAAACTTTTTTTATTGTTATTCCTTTTTTGTGTCCTTATTAAATCAAAACAAAAAAAAATTAAATATTTTTAGGATATTTTCTTTAAATTAATTAGGAAAGTTTGCAATTTAAAAATAAAGTAACACGAGGAAAAAATTTTAAATATAGAAAAAAATTAAAATTATACAAAAAATAACATTTTATGAAATAAAGTAATTAATTTATGAAAAAAAAAACTTAATTTTTTAATTATTCAGCGTTTTTTGATACCAGCAAGTCGATTAGCATTTTCAATTTTTATAATTTCAAAATTTTATATTTGAAATTTTTCAGCTCTTTAACTATTTCAAACTTGAGCCTGCTTCATATTTTGCGATTAAATCATTTATCGTCATTATTTGTCTCATATTATTTATCTCTAAATTACTTAGCATTCTTTTTGATTGAATATTAAGTTGTTGCTGTAGAAATAATTATAAACCACTGCTTAGAAAGTTCCCTTTTCCAAAGCATTTCAATACAATTTTCAATAAAATTACAAACTTTTAATGAAACTATGAAAAATATTCTTGCCAGCTAAATATGAAGTTAAAAAATGTTATTGTATTCGAAAACACAGTAATTTTAAATTAATCTTATTCCCTAAAAATCTTTACTGTAAATCATTCAATTCAGAAGAAGTTATAAAATAAAAAAAAATATTTCACGTAAAATAAAAATTTTTATTTACCATATTTTATAATTTTTTCTTTTTAATTTTTTTTCCATTTTGAATAGCTTTTCGTTTAGAAGATTTTTCATTTTTCTCAGATTCGCTAAAATTAAATTATATATGTATATAAATTAGTAAAATAATATAATTTAATAAAGATAACATAATATCTGATAGCTTACTCGACTTTTGGCATGTTTGCAAACATGGCATCATATTCCTCGTCGCTACAATGTTCAACATCTTCCACATTATTTCCATTCATTGATTTTCCCTCATTATCTTTCTCCTCTAATTCATTTTTTTCAATGTTTCCAATCGTTTTAACAAGAATCCTTGTAGCCTTCGATTTGACATAACATTGGTAAAGCATAACACATGTATCACTGTTATGTACTCTTACATAACGATCCAAACACGATGAAACTAAATATTTTCCACTTTCATCTAAATATAAATCACTTACGGATCCAGTAAAACCTTTATATGTATGCACGAAATTTTTAAATTTTCTTATATCAAACGCTTTAGCCATTCCCATTGTAGTACCACAATATACATAATTATCTCGTGCAATCAAACTGCAAAAACTTGTTTGCTCTTCTGGTGTTGCGTATTTAAGAATCGGTCTTCTCTGTTTTCTTATGTCATAAACTCTAACATACCCATATCTTGAACAAGTTGCGACTAAATTACCATCAATAAAACCTAAATCACTATCCCATATTGGTACTTCCAACTGAAGATAGTCATTAGGTAAATTTTTTGATTTAAATATTTCTTTTGACTCATTCATATCAAAAACTTTTAGATTATTTTGCCTTTCTTTTCCTCCAGATGCAAAAAGATTTTTATTTATCGGGCATTGTCTCAATCTCGACGTATTATCTCCTGTGACTATTGTAATAGATTCCGTGTCCAAATGCTGTTGAATTTTTCCAGTACCTATTCCGGCAATTATACTATCATTAAATTTTCCCAATCCTACTATTGGTCCTTCGGAAAATTCCTCTACACTTTCAAAACGCTTTTCATTTGTTAAATATGTTTGTACCATTTTGTTTTCTCTACCGATTAATACTTCATTTGAAATATCATCACCAAAAGAAAGAGCTGAAATTCTCGATCCCTGGGTTAAAGTTTTAAGATCCTGTAGATTTTGTTGTGAGAATGGATCTTCTTCCGCTACACAAATTCCTGAACAAGTAAAATAATAGTTTAAAATCAAATATTCTATAATTCTTAACTTTTCGCTAACTTTTTAAACAGCCTATGTGTGTTCCAACAAAAATTTCATGATTCTCTAAATAATCTTCATTTTTATAATTTAAAGTATCTATTCTCATTTTTAAAATAAAAATATGCTAAGTTGTTTCAAAAAATATTAAACCATAAACAATTTATTATTTCCCCACGTGCTACTACCAAACCAAATGAGTTCTCATGAAGAAATGTCACTGCCAGCTGGCTTGCAATTTTCTATTTCAGATTTCATTTCAATAATTTTTTGTTTCAATTTAATTCAACTTCAAACCACTTCAACTGTTTCAGTTATTCAAAATAAGCAGAATTCACAATAGACATTCAATTTGATTAGTGTGATTCACAATAAATACTTAATATATATTAATGGAATCAAATGTAATATTAATATATGTGCCCACATTTATGGATATTAATGATTAAGTATAAATACCAATAACTATTTAACGAATTTTATGTATGCATGAGATAAGAAATTAAGAAAGAGTAAAATATTATAAAAATAATAAGTTATCTTTATATAAAAATAATTCAATTGTATATTGTGAATGAAATATGTAAATCAAAAAAACCGTTCTGTTATGTTTGACTTTTAAAGAACAAAATGGCAAAAACAAAGAATTTAAATCAAGTAACAAAATATCATGATTATTTTATTGCTAAATATTTGCATCTTTATTTTTTCAAGAAAACAAACATATTTAGAAAAAATCCAAAAATTTAATTACATAAAGAAACATACATATGTATGTAGGTAAGTAATAGTTTATAAGTAATAAACATATAATATATTAATGAACTGTGCATAATAAAATTCTGCAAAAATATTGTTTTAATTCAAAATTTTTGTCCAACAGGCATTATTATCAACTCAGATATTTGAACATGTTGTGGAGACTCTGCAAATTTAAGAACATAAAAATAAAAGTTTGTTAAACAACCAATCTCAAAAATATCTGTTCATAAGAAAATAATATACATAAGTACATTGTATGTACATGGATATGCATGGAAATATCAGTATATGTTGCTACCTACCTAATATGAAAATAATAGTTCTTGAAATATCCTCAGGAAGTAAAATTTCTGCAGATCCCATTATAACATCCGCATATGGATGGTTTCCAGCATGACACAGTTCGGTTTTAACAAGACCTGGACTAATATTCTATAATTTCGAGGAAAATTACATTATTTATATACTTATACATATAGGTAAGTACTAAAGCAAAAAAAAACTTACAGAAATTCGGAAAGATTTTTTCTCAATCAATTCTTGTCTGATTACTTCTGTAGCTGCTTTTAGAGCAAATTTTGAACTTGGATATAAATTATAAGTCATTGATGCTATACTAAATGGTGTTGAATGTCCCAAAACACTATTCATATTTATGATATGACATTCTTCTTCTTTATCTTTCATAATATCGTACATTTGCTTTGTACAAAATATTGCGCCCATAAAATTAATTTCCATCAATTTTTTTATTTCTTCTTCATTACCTGTTGTTAAAATACCACAATATCTTACAATTCCCGCATTATTTATTAATATATTAATACGACCAAATTTTTCATTTATCCAAGTAAAAGCTTCAATTATGGAATCCAGTGAAGACACATCACATTTATATGAATAAAATTTCCCAACATTATTATCATATGAAATTTGATTTTGTAAATCTTCTAACAAATCTAATCGTCTTGCTAATCCAACAACAATTAAACCGTTGTTAACTAATTCTTTTGTTATGGATAAACCAATACCAGAACTAGCTCCAGTAACCTATAGGACGAATTCATATAAAATTTTATTTTCAATATAAATTAAAAATATTTTAAAATAAAATATTTTTATTACAACTGCAATTTTTCCAACCCAACGATTCATTTCATATATAAATATCGTTTGTCTTGAAAATAAACTTCACTTGAAGATTGATAAATTAAAACTAAACGAGATCTTTATAACATTTTTATTAATTTTTATAATTTTTATTAAAAGTATGTACTGTGGTTTCTAGACTCTTGTCGATTCTACTTTGTTCATATTCTATCTCAGATTAATTTATTATTAGAATACATATCAAATTTCAACCTTGTATGCAATTACATGCAAACTGTTTCCATACAAATATCATAGAAAATTTCATACAAATATCATAGAAAATTATTGACGGTGTAACCGATTTATTTATGAAATTTATTTAATTTACAATTGTCTCATTGGAAATCATTCGGATCATGACTTGTTAAATTCACTTAATAAAAAATATTATCTATACCTTCATTTAAATTATAATTGCAATTTCATGTGTTTTTTTAATGTGTTTACACTTCTCTGAATTTCACCGGTTTTTATATTTTTTGTTACCCACGTTATAAAAAATTTTTATGATCGTACTTAAAAGTTTTATAGGACTGTTTTGTTTTAAATATTTAAAGAAAAAAATGAATAAATAAGTAAGACAAAGTTCAAGTAGAAATACCTACATCATATTATAAGTTCCAATGGATTTATATGTGGATCAATAACTAAAAATATTCTTAATTATATTTGCTAGAAAAAATCAGCATTAAATGATGTCAATTAAATAATAACAATAATTAATAATAATATCGCAAGTTACCTAATCTTAAAATATTTTATTGCAACCATGAAAGCAATTAAAAATTTAAAATTTCCCCAATATTTATAAAATTTTATAACATACTTTTTCATTCTTTACAATGGCAGTATTTATTTTCAATATATAATGTGAAAGTGTCATAAACCGTTAGTCTATATATAATAACAAATTATAAAATAATAATTAGGAGATTTTTAAAATAAATAAAAATAAATATTAAAATAAAATATAAATCGTAAATAAGAATATTGTTTCCTCATACACTATACGGAGATTATTATTTTCAAACATCGGAGAATCTACATATAAGAATAACCCAATAAATTTTAAAGGCAAAAAGCAGGATATTTTCTGTTTCTAATCGTATTATATACACTTTAAAAATTATATATAATTTTTTATTATAAGATAAGATAAGATAAGATCAAATTTCGAATTGCTACTTTAATTTCGATGACTTTACGCCATCTTTTAATTACTTTATTATTCAATAACAATTTTTGATATTTTTTTTTATATTAAAATTAAAAAAAAAGAAAACGTTTGCAAATAAAGTATTTAATTACAAAGAGGACTATAATAAAGAAAAAAATTAATATTATTGGCAATTAATTTTTCTTTTTCAATTTTATATACTTGAGAATTTCATATTAAAATCGTAATTAATTGTTCCGAATAAAATTTATTTATATGTACTCGTATGTATAAACATATACATGCGGCGGATAAAGAAATTAATTTATATTACTGATAAAGGTATGGTAAGATTATAACAACGTCAGAAAACGGAAGTAGTTAATACAAAGATTAAATTTGAATTTTTGACACAAATTAATTTTTTTTCCACAATTAATAAATTTCAATATATTTTACTATTACAGTTTTTACTAGAATATCTTAAAGCCGCATGAAGTGGAATTGAATTTTATCTATACCTCTCTATATGGCGCTAACGTACACACTATATACCTGTGAACTCTGAAATTATTATCACTATGAATCAAAATTCAGCATACATTTGATTTGTGTTATAGAGAAAACCTTACACCTTTATTAAATTAAATTTATATTTCACTTTCGTAATTGCGAATATTTCCCAAAAAAAAAAAGATTATTTTTGTTTTACTTAGTATATATATTTTTTTCTTTTTGCTCTAGATGCCGGCCTATGAGCTTTAATTTTTTTTAAATCCATCTGTAATACTTAATAATATATATAAGAATAAGATTGTTTTCAACAAAAACAAATTTTTAAACCGAATTATCTACAATATTGATTTCTACACACCTTGATAAATAATTTATATATGTATAATTTTTATAATCAATACTTTCCCCCATATTTCAGAATATTTAATAACCCGTATTAAATATTCTAAACCTAAGTATATATTAATTAACCTGCATTTATACATGCATACAAAATTTAAGAAAATCCAAAAATTTTGAAAAAAATAAAAATAGTTTAATTATATTATATATAAAATATACGCATAGAATTTAAAAAATTAATAAAATAAAATTTTTTTCTTTTATTAAACTAAAATGAAATAAATAAAATTATGAGACTTATTATATAACATTCGCATTTACATTAATTAATTTCAATATAAATATTTAAAATTTTTATATTTTTTTTAATATATAATTTGTACAAATTGCATATTATTCTGTATATAAAAATATTATATAACCACAATTTTTATATTATATATTATTCACCTATTTAACATGTACATATACATATATAATTTGGTTTTAATTAATAATAATTCAATTTAATTCCAGTAACTTCTGATATCCAATATAAATATGATGTTATACGTGAAAATACAGCTGGATATGATGAATCGCAATCAAGTGTATATGATGCAATACCAACTAATTTCCAACCTTCTGGATCTAATATAACTAATGGACCACCAATATCAGATAAACATACATTACCTCCGGTAATAACTCTTGTACAAAGTGCTTCATTTGTTACATCAGTATATGATGAAAGACAATCTTGATTTGATATAACTGTTAATTCATGCCAATTTAATGAATCAGTTGTTGATGATGATGTTTTTTTATCATTTGGTATTTCAATAACTTTTGTACCCCAACCAGAATTTCTTGCTTTAACACCTTCAAATGATAAACCCATTTGATCTTCACCAGGTAATAAAATTGGTTCAATCCAATCAGTAAAATTAACAGTATCATTCATTTTTAATATTGCTAAATTATGTTTTGGTAAACGTACATCTTTCGGATTAAAATCTTTATGTATAATTGTATTTGTAGCAGTTCGAATAATTGCCGGTGATTTTAATTCATTTGAACCTAAACCAATTAAAATTTTTTCACTTTCATTTCCTAAACAAGTTGCTGCTGTTAAAATCCATTGATTTGATATTAATGTTCCACCACATATATTTATTTGACCATTTTTTTTATAATTTGTTATCGAAACTTGCCATGGGAATTGATTTTGTTCTGCTTCATGTCCCAATATTAGAGTACCATAATATGGCGCACCAATATTTAATGAAAATGTGGCAAAAAAGAAAATATTTATTATCAATAATTTCCGGATCATAATTTTGATTATTTTTTCTTTCTTTATTTGTTTTTCAAAAAACTTTTTTTACGTTTTAAAATTATTTTTATTTTTTTTTCTTTGATAATTTCTCAACTCAAATCTTTATTGAAACTAAATTTAATTCACTGAATTTCACTGCTTTTATATGGGAAGAAAATTGTTTCAAATAATCTTAAATAAAAAAATATACATGTATAAATAAATTAATTCATAATATAATGAAAGTTTATCAAAATGACCATTAACTGATATTTTTTAATTCAAAAAAATATAAAGATAATAAAATAGTAAAGAGAAAGATAACAATGATAATTAATGATAAGAATATTATAAGTCAAGTAGGTACGTATACAATATTCTATACGGTAGACCCAGGTACGAGTATTATATGAAATTAATTATTATTATTATATTATATTTTAAAACCATACGAGTAATATATCGTTCTTACTTTTATTAATACCCTCCACCCCATAATCGAAATTTTATGATTGACATGTAGTGAATTTGAAATCAATGACTGATTTCTATAAGGAGAAATTAAACTTAATTTTTACTTATGCAAACATACATTCATATTTTATAATACTTTTTTCTGATATGATTTCTAAAAAGTTATATATATTTAAATTTATAGTTAGTTTTAACAAAATTTAATTAATAAACATACTTGAAAAAAAAATTAGTATTTTTAGTAATTATTCTATAAATAGAAATTGACTTGATTTATGATTGCAACCAGAAATAAAAATTTTTTTATTATTTTAGGTTGGGGTGCTATATAATTATGAATTCGATGGTTATCCAAAATGAGTATCAATAAAATTTAAAAAATTGTTATCAACATTGCAAAATATTATTTGAAACTAAGGATTGGATACAATAAAATAATGCACTGGAATTTGCGTTTTTTTGTCTTTAAATTTTAATATATTTGAAAAATTCTACTATGTTATAATAATGAATTTTAAATATTTAAGTAAAATTAATATTATTTTGTAGAATTAATTTTTGCTTAAATTGAACTATAAAATTTTATATTATTTATATAACACCGAGGATATATACGTCTTCATGTTGTTGACACGGTTTTCCAAAAGAAAAAGAAATTGCCAAATTTTAATATGAAATTAAGATTTTTGCTTTGTAAGGCACAATTGTAAAATATTACATTATAGTTGATATAATTGTAAATTTAATTATCAAATTTAAAAATGTTCTTATATTGTATGCAAGAATTTCAAACATTATGAAATTATTATTTCATATAGACCATAAATATTCAGTTTAAAGCAGTTAAAGATAATCTTTATAATTATATACAATTAATATTCACATGTACATAGTACATACTATGTTTATTTACAAATAATTAAAAACCACTCTAAAATTAATTTGATAAACTATTAATTTCTACATAATATGTATAGCATGTATAATTAAACATAAGTAGGTATGGTACTCCAATTGTCTTGAAGATATTAAACATCTAATAAGGCATATTTATAGATGAAACTTTAAGTACTGCTCTTATCGTAATCATTTTAAAGATGACAACGTTATTAAAAGATAAAAGATAATTATTAAGATAAGAACATTTTCAGTTCAACCGTAACGTTCAAAATATAGTAATTTATAATTCAACTCCACTATCACACTCCAACACTCCTTTACACTTTTTTTTTGTAAACATGTTTTTAAAATCATATCTTATTTTTATGTTTTAAAAGTGTTGTGTATATGTATGTATAAAACATACAGCACCCTTAAAACGTGCAGACATGCGATACTTAATTAATAATAATAAAAAAAAAAAAATTTTTTTTTTAATATAAATTTTTTTTTTTGTTAAAATTATTCGATTTTCCTAAATATTAATCAAGATGAAAACGAAAAAAAATTGAATTTTGTTTTCGTTTTATGCTTTTTATCAAAAAAAAAAAAAAAACAAATTTTATGTAATTACCAATATTTAGAGTGATAAATTAATTATAATTAATAATTTTTATTTATTTAATTGGAAATTTGTTGATTAAACTGATTATTGTAGACAATTTATTCTTAATTGCTTGATTATTTTCATTATTTTTTGCGCATTCAAATATGATTTATATAAGAATTTTTTTTTTACAATTTGATTCAATTTTTTTTTTATTTATTGAATAATTTTATTGAATAAAAACAATTAAATTGATTGTAGTTAATAATTTTGAAAAAAAAAAGGTGCCATTTTACTGAAATCGAATTTGTACTTTTAATTTCATATTTTTTTATTTAATAATTTGTAAAAGCTTTTTACTAATATAAAATGGAGGCGATAATTTAAAAATAAGTCAAACATTCCAAGTTTTAAAATAAATTTTAAAAGATTTAATACAGTCCCAATTATGTAAGAAAATTAATTGAATATTTGGTTTATAAAATATGAATTGTACATATATACAATTATATATCCTTCATATATTCTTGCAATTCTTATTGCCCGTCTTAGAGAATATTAATTATATATGGTCCTCAATACATTCTTGTAATTTTTATTTCCCGCTTATTAACTTCTTAAAATAATTTTTATATTATATTTATCCCTGGTATATCATTTTCGTACTTACCCACGTGTTTTTTTTTGCACATTATCAAAAAATTAAATACATTCTTAACAATGCATAATCAAAAAAAGAATTAACACCGGTTTCCGTTCACTTTTAAAATTGTAAATTAATTTATTATTCATAAAAGTTTATCAAAATTGAAGTAGGTACACAATATGTTTTATATATTTTTGAAAACAAAATTTTAAAAATAGAAATTATGAAATTTTAATAACATAAATATTTACAATTTTTAAATTTAATTGCCGGCACTCAAAAATTTATTTACTATTTTGTATAAGTAATCAGAAATCCAAGATTTTAAAAGAGTATGATAACAAAGCGAACATATAAAATAATACCTAGCTATATTTGTAATACTTTAAGAAAAATATTATTTCTGTTTTTTGAGAAATATTCCCATTTAGCCTTAGTTTAAATTATAAGCATAATTTTAATACTAGAAATTAACAATTTATTATAAGCTCCTTTAATACAAATTTTAAGTACATATTTCCTTTGAAATTTAAGTTAAAAAATATAGGATATTATAAAATTTTTATTTAAAATTTATTTTTTTTTAATTTTTTTCAAAATAGAGAGGTTCTTAAAATAAAATAATAGGTACATGCTAATATATATATATATTTCTTTAAGCAATTATTATTAAACCCAAACGCAGATGCTTAAACTCCTTAAGTACTTTTCAAAAAAAAAAAAATTCCAATCATTTTAGGTGAAGTTCATTTATGTGAAATTAAATTAACATAAAAATTAATTTCTGCTTAAGATGAATCTCTCATAAAAATGTTGAGAAAATTTGATTTGGTGTGTTATAAACTTTTAAATCAATTAAGAGAAGTATATACGCATAGTTATATCATTTATACTATGCATTTATATTTGATATAAATGCTAATATTCTAATAACTCTATCTAAATACCGAAGTTTTCAATATCTAAATATAAAGGTTTTTATTTTGGGTATTTTTTTCTTAACAATACTTACCTACCTATTACAATTACATATTTTGAAAACAAGGAATCACCTTTCACATTTGGCTTATCATAAATTAAACTTTAACTAATTATTTCTAATCTATAATAAATCTCTCAATCAAAATCAATCAAAACAGTGTCAGATATTTGAAAAATAAAAAATAAAAATTACAATAGTTAAGATAAAAATAAAATGTTTTCTTTGAAGGGTTCACTAATTAATATTAATAAAAGCTCAATTTACCAATTTTATCAACTTAATGAAAATTTTTGATAAGAGAAATATTTATCTTTCAAAAATTTTCAATCTATTATAGTGGTGATAGAATTCCAATTATTATGTAAATTCATATATATAATACAAATAGATAATAAATGGTTTTTTTTTTGAAGCGCAGAAAAAAATAACTTCAATAAAGTATAAAATATTATTAGCTCCATGTTCTATTATAACGTTGCTATAATAAAATATTTAATAACATTGATTTTCACAGGAATTACATTGCAATGAACAAGAGTGAATTAAAGGAAATTGTAAAAAATCTTAAATTTAACGAAATTAATTTAAATTTTTGGAAATATTAATTTCAGGGTGACTATTATAAAAAGCAAGCTATTTCTTCCATATTTATTTCCTTATCATATACAGTATAGTGGATTTTTTAAAAAGTTGCATAACATTGTTCATTTTCTGATTATATTTTATTTCCTGTATAAAATTATGGTAATATAATTATAAAATGAAAGTACAAAAAAAAAATCTTAACCTAATTTTATTGATAACATTTTAAACAATTGTTTTTTTCTTTTTATTTTATGAATAATATAATCTTTTGATAATCTTTTATTTATAATCATGGATAATACAAAAATACAATTATGTCAATTTCTTATAATCTAATACTTTCGAATATTTAAAAAAAATATTTGTTTTTTTATTTAATATAGGTAATTTTGTTATACGAAATTTAAATTTTCTTTTACAACCATATTCATTTTTTTGCGAAAATATTGTGCATATTTAAAAAATCACAAGCTATATAAAAAACGAACTAAGATATTAAACTCAAAAATATAAAATTACTATAAGTATACAAAAAAAATTTATAAATATATAAAATTTCATAAAATTCTACATAAATAAAAAATAAATACTCAAAAGTTTCTTAACAAATTTTTAATATATAATAATATAATTTCTTAATACAAGTTTGTAGTTATTAAAAATAATAAATGTACAATTTTTAAATTGTTGTATAAAAAAAAAGCGAGCAAATTTCATAATCAGTATATAATTAAGTCTCCAAATTGAAAAAAAAAATAGTAAAAAATTAAGTAAAGAAGAAAAAAATTAAATTTTACTTCATTAATTACTGTTGAACTTTAAACATTAATTGAATTAATGGAAATAAAATGCTTAACATTTTAAATAAAGAAAATTAATATTTCCTTTAAATTTGTAAATGGAACAAAATATAAGAAGTAACTTATATTCAAAAAAAAAATTAAATATTAAAAATTTATTGTAATTGCACAAACTTAAGTAAATAAATTTTTAATTATACTAAGTATTGTTCATTATCTACTAATATTTTTAAATCATAACCTAATATGTATTTTATTGAGAAGTTAAAATATAAAAACCCTGCTAATACTTTCAAAATTTATTTTGCCTTTTTTTTTTACTTATAAATTGTTTAGAACAAAACGTACTTTCTGTTAATATCGTAAATTTTTCATTTATTATGTGCTACAAAATTTAGTGAAATATAATAAATATGTATTACTATATATAAACTTTTAAAAAGTACAATGAGTATAAAAATTAATAATCAATTTTTGACTTTGTTTTAAATAATTTTTTTTTTCTTAAAAAATCCAAATACATATTAATATATTAACAGGCACTTTGGTTGTTTTTAATTGTTTTAAAAAAAACATATATATGTATATAAATTTATACTGTTTTCAATATTAAGAAATTTAATAATTAAAGTTTATTTGATCGTATACTCTCCCAACTTGTATTTCTTGGAAAATAATCTTGTCTTGGAAAATGACTTGGATCGAATATATGTATTAATATTCCAGCACTTAATAATGCAAAGAATACTAAAATTGCAACCCACCATAAAATTCTTTCCCATTTTTGTTCTTTCAAATTTCTTAAAACACCAATTCCAACAAGTAAACCAGCTAAGGCTCCACATAAATGTGCAACATAACCAACTTGATCATTTTGATCTGTCATATGCCGATAAATTGATGTACCCAAATCAGTTAAACAAAATATTAAAAATACACATAATTGTATAATTGCAAATTCCATTTCTTTCCAATTCTAAAATTGAAATTATAATTGAAATTAATAAACAATATTTCATATTTTTTTTTTTATATTATATATTTCTTTTACCAAAATTATAGTTGCAATATGAGCTGTAATTAAAGCATAAACACCACCAGAAGCTCCAGCTAAATATATTGTTGGGCTAGTTAAAGATGTTCCCATAGAACCGGCTAAAACACCAGCTAAATATATTAATGTTATTCTCCACCAATGATGAACCAATTCTAATGCTACACCCAATAATATTTGAATTAATAAATTCATAAATAAATGCATTATTCCAACATGTACAAACATATAAGTAACAAAACGCCATGCTTCATAACGTCTATATGGATTATAAATAAATAATTTAGCTGCTGGACCATTTGTATTTTCACCAACTTTTTTAGTATTATTAGGATCATCTCTAAAAAATTTAAAAAATATAATACAATTAATAATATTATTTTAAAAATTTTTTCAATAAATCAAACTTACTTAAAGTAAATAACATCTATTAAGAAGAAAATTACTTCAATCAATGAAAAAATAACCATAGTTAATGGTGGTGGACAAAATGTCATTTGTCGTTCATATGCTCCATCTAAAAATTATTTAATTATTAAAAATTTTTTTTATAATTTTGAACCAAAAATAAACAAAATTTACCAATTTGATCTCCAATTTCTCTATTAGGTAATGGAACAAGTAAACGACAATATTCATTCATTACCGATGAAATTAACCATTTATTATTTTGTGTTAACTCATAAAATTCTTCAAAATCCAAATGTCTATCACCATTTCTATCATTCATATGTATTAAATGATGTGATAATCCACGTGACATTTGTCGGCATAATCCACCTTTGATCATTACCTTTAATTCTTTTAAATTTAATCGATCATCATTATTTGTATCATACTAAAAAGAAATAAAGAAAAAAATTAAATTATAATTAATCAGTTTATTTTAGAAATATGTGACAATATTTTCATATACATATATGTTTATTATTCAAATTTATATGTATACATATGTATATTATTATATAGAATCAAATCTATTATTAAAAAATAAAAGTTATTAACCTCTAAATTATAAAAATATTTCTTGTATTAGGCATATACGAGTATAAAAAAATGTAATATAAAATAGTATGAACATTCTATAAGAATAGGAATGATGATTTTTTCGGATTTTCTTAAATTTTATGACAAAACATAATAGAAAACCATAAGCAAGCTTTTTTTTTCGCTACACCTTGTCATATACAATCTAAAATCGCATTAAAATATGAAAAATTAATAAATTTACTAATATTATTATTTATAAAGCTGAATATGAATTCCATTTTGAAATTCTCAAAGAATTAGAGATAAGATAATCAAAAATGAATATTGATTCTTATATACGCTCCTTATTTTCTATTCAGCGAAAATCCTATCTATAAAACTTATTATCTTTAAAGATAAGAAAAAATTTATTTTTTTTTAAATTTTTTAAAATTATTGAAAAAATTGCATAATTTTTAATTATAAATTCTTTACTACTTATTGAAAATTGTTTTTTTTATCATATTCTATTTTAATATTGCAACAAGTATTTTAGCTAACTGCAATAACAACAACCTAAGTTTGGTCATAGAATGTCATAGTAACATAATTACCATTTAAGGAGGAAAACTAAATCAATCACATTCCATAATACTTTATAAAGATTTTTAATACTTTACAATCACTTTTTATACAATCTCTGTTACAGAATTGAAATGAAATTACATTTTAAGAAGAATTTAATTAAATATAGAAAATTTTTTTGTTTTGATATCCAAAATAATGGCCTTAACAGCAATAATATAATTTATTTAATTTTAAAAGTAGATACCTATAAACAATAAACGTTTTCATTTCTAATTTATAGTTTAAATAAAAATATTGGAGGTGCGTACAAATAAGTACACATGTAAACAAATTGAATAAATAAATTTAAAAAAAAAAATTTCATTTGTAACGATTACACTGTTGCTTACTATATTTTATCTAGCTAGAGCTATACAAGAAATTGTTCGACCTAAAACATTAAATCAAATAATTTGTATATATAAATAGATACATATAGGTATAGTATATAAAGTAATATAATAACACATTGGATAGAGTGTAAGTCCACGTCAATGACTAATGATTTATGTATGTAAATATCAAAATAATTGGGTATAATTCCGATTGATAAAAGATAAACATATTTTTTTTTTTTTAGTTTTGTGTTGAAAAGGAATTCGATGGATGACATCATACTTTGGAAACTTTCTTTACAAATACTATTAGTAATATTCATCAATGATTTTCAATTGAAATTTAATCTATATTCATGCTTTTTAAATTAGTCATGATTTTTAAAAAAAAAAATTTTTTAAGAAATTTCACAATTACTTCTATTGTAATTCCGGTATGTAAATATTTATATATTCGTATATATTAATATCAATATAAATCTCTACTTATACATAAGTATATATATAGGTGCTAGTAAATAGAATATCCGAAAAACTTTGGATCTTAATTTATAACATACCTTCTTAAATAATTCATAAACTTTTTGCCTTTCAGCTGTTTCAGCAGCTCTCTGTTCTTCAGATGTTAATCTCTAAAAAATTATATTTATTAATTATATTGTATATAATTTTTATTTAAAATATTTGATAATTATTTACTTGTAAAGGTATCTCTTCCTGAGGATGTCCATTATCACCTCTTTCCATTCCATTCGTTGTTGTGTTTTCTTGTAAACCAGCCATTTTCAACTGAGGATACAACGAATTATTATTATTACTCATAGAATTTTTTTTCTCTATCTTATAATAATTATAAAAATATATATATAAATATACTTATGCACGTATATCTTATTGGCTAGTATTGTGCTTAATCTAATCTAAACAGTATTTTTTTGTGTTATCACACACTGCTCTTTATTAGATAAACTTTTGATATAAAATATCTGAGAATTATTTTGAGATTTTTATCTTGAAAGTTTTTTTTTTTTTATAAATATATAAACACATGTGCATATATATTTACGTTTATATAAAAAAAAAATATTTATTTTCTCTTTAAACTTCAATTTTTTTTTTCACACCACTACAATACAATTTTTATTTTTTTTTTTCTTCTTGTTCTTGTATGACGGCTATAAACATTTCAAAAATTTATTTAGAAGATTTTAATTAAATTGAAAATATAATTTATAAATTGATTTCTTATAAAAAAAAATATGAATATAATTTTATTAAATCTTTTTTTATAATATTTAATTTAGAAAAAAAAAATTTCCTAATAAGAAAGTTTTAACTAAACTACGAAATTAAAATAGGTTAAATTTTTTCTAATGAATTATTCATGAATTGTCAATTATTAAGTCAATTTGACAATAAATTAGCACACTCTATTGCCTGATATATATTTAAAAATAATGATGAAACGAAATGGAATTGAAACAAAACTAAAATAAAAATTGTGCTGAATAGTACTTTAGAAATTTAATTTCCAACAGATGTCTCTGTATATCAATCAAAATAAAAATATATTTTGAAAGAAAAAAAAAAAACAAAAAACAATCAATTTTGTTACTATAGTAATCCCGTTATTCGAAATAGGAAAAAATCACAACCAAAACAAATAAATAAATTTTAATTTTACTCAAACGCAAAAAAAAAAATGCATATTTGAAAATGTGGCGAAAATCATTAAAAAGTTCTGCAATATATTCAACAAAATGTAAAATTGAAAATTTAAAAGTAAATGTAACATTAAAAACAATAAGTTCATTATTAAAATTAGAAAAATTTAATTTGAAAACGGCGTCTATTTATCAACAACAACAAAGAAGTAATAGAGGTTCAATTAGTACAAGAGCTAGTTCATTACATGAAATAAATGAAGAAAATAATACTGATGACAATTCCAATCCGGATGAAAATAAAAAAATTCATGATTATGAAAATGATAATGGCGATGATAATGATGATAGCATAGAAATAATTAATTTAGAATGGCAACAAAAAGTTTTCAGCCGATATGAAATTGAATATTATAAGGATATACAAAATTGTATTACAGATTTACAAAAAGAATATCATGAATGGATTATTAGAGATAATTTAGATGGTCAAATAAAAAATGGAAAACATAATAAAATTTTTACTTATGTTGACAGTGATCATTTTATTCCAGTAGAATCTAATGATTGTAAGTATATACATATGTATGTACATATGGCTACAAAGTGTAATGTGTAATTGAATTCCAAGAAATTGGAAATTACACATAGAACTTAGTAAATTTTGTGAAAATTAATTGAATCAAAAATAGATCTAAATTTAACATAGATTGAACATAGGTTGGAAAAAACACGATATATAGGAGCATTTCCAAGCTTATCGGATTAACCAAAACGTCCGATATATCAAATAATATATGTTACATGATTCGAATTTTATAAAAAAAAAACTAGTTGAACTGCTGTAATGATATAATCTTAAACCAGAAATTCTAATTCTAACCTAGTCATTGCCTCAGTACATAATGTACATATGTATATGTGTAAATTCTGTTGCATATTTTTGATAATGAAGCTAAACGGCGGAAGATCGTTTGAAATTCTCAAAAAACTTGATTGTACGTGTACAATTTAAGAATATAATTTCAATAATAATTTAAATTTTTCTCTAATTTATGTAATTTAACAATGATTTTTAAAATCACTGCATTACAAGTTCAATTTTAAGTTTCCTATATTCAAGATTCAAGTTAGGCTAATTTAATTGCCACAGTTAATTAATACAAGTTAGACACAGCATAAGGTGGCTTTAGCAAAGCAAAAACTCATAATAAATCACAAAATTTACATAAATTTTTGCTTAAATTCTGAATTCAACAAAATATTACAAAATTCAATTAAATTTGAGTACTTATACAAATTGAATTTCAATTATTTAAATATTATATTAAATTTTTAATTATAATTTTAAATTCTTATTAATTTATTTTCATATTCCTATTTTTTCTCTGTTTCTCTTTTCTTTAACAGCATTTCCTCAAAGATCAACTGAAAAAGAAACAACATTGAGAGCTAAAAAATATTCTCATCCATATACAAAATCAAAAGTAATGTACATTTATGCTGATTTAAATCCAGACACTTTATTATTTATGTTTCGTTGGTTAGAAACAGAACAAATGTTAATTGTTTATCCAGATTTTAATGAATTTCATCATAATCCATATTTTATTGAAATTGATTCAGATTATCATCATTTATATTCATATGCAGTACAAAATACATCCGTATCATTTGGTAAATCAATATCACCAACAACATTATTAAGAACAACACCACAAATGGGTAATTTCGAAAATATAAAATTAATGTAAAAATTAATTTTTTTTTTAAATATTTTAGAAAAATCAGTAGATGCCAAATTATTTTCAATATCAACATCAATAACAAAAGAATTAGAATTACAAAATCAAATTTCATCTGGATTTTATGATATGCCACCAAAACATTATATACGTGTTAATTTTTTATTTAATATAAAAGAAGCACATAATTTTGAATATAATAGCCTTCATGTACGTTATTATATTAGATTACCATTTGATGAAAATTCAATGAAAACAACAAAATTAAATATTGAAAATGGAAAATTATTAGAAATACCAAATATTAAAATTGAAAATGGTCATTTAAATGGTACAACACATTCAACTAATTATAATTGGGGTAAAAATAATTATGAAAATTATAAAATTTATTCAGGACGTTTAATAAAAATTTGGAATTTTAGTTATCCATTTCAAATATGTTTATTGTTACGTGAAAAAGAATTTCAACAAAATTATAAAAATTCTTTAAAAATTTATTTTGAATTAATCTCAATTGATTCATGGAAACGTGAACGTACCGAAGGTTATTCATTTCTATTAATACCAATTGAAACTGGTTTAAAAAATTTTAATTTAAATTGTTATAGACCAGATTATGGTATTAAAGATCGTATTGAACGTTTTTTTATTGGTGGAAGAAAATTATTTAATTATGAAAATTTTAATAATACAAATTGTTTAGAAGGTTTTTTAAATCGTTTTCATACTAAATGCATTTCAACAGGAAAATTATATTTTAATAGTGAATGCATATTTCAAAGAAATCCCAATGAAATAAATTTATATGGAAAAAATGAAATTAAAAAGAAAACAAATAGTGGAATGACATTAGATGATATTTTAAATGCATATCAAGAAGCTAGAAAAAGGCTTGAAGCAACTACCTTAATTAGTAATGATGATAAAGATGAAACGACAAATGTATAAAGGTTTGTTGAAAAAATAATTTTCTTAAAACATCCTTTATTAAATTAAAACTTAGAAAATACATTCTTGTGATCACATATGAGATTTTAAATTGTCATGGGATGATGTTTTTCTTTTTATAATCACATAAGTGTATGCTTCTACTTTTTTTTACAATTGTAATTGCATAAAATTTTTTGGTTCATCAAAAGATTATTCATTTTTCATGTAAAGAATGTAGAATACAATAAAATGTCGTGATTTTAAGATAAATGCAGATTTAATCATTAAATAATCATTCAATTTAATGATTATTTAATTAATTTTTAAAATATTTATTACATTTATTTTTATTTTTAGCAATATTTGAGCTGCAAATACTTGAAAACATTATAGTAATTGAAAATTTGCCAACGATATGCTTTTATAAATCATGAAGAAAATCAGTATATTTGAGAGAAATTCAAGAACCAAAACTAAAATATGAAGCACAACTTAAAGTTTTCGTGTAGACATGCGAATAATTAAAATTGGAAATAAATTATTTATGAGCTCGTTAAGATTTTCCATAAATAACTAGCGTTTTCAACTTTAATTAAAAAATTTAAATTGGCCATTTATATTATTCAATACATCTTACTCAATATAGTGAATCCTATATGATAAAAGATCACAGTTGGAAGAAATTAATACTGGAAATCTACAAATTAAGCAATTTTTATAAAATTTTTGATCATTGTAGTTAGTAGCAAATTATCGGAAATGGTAGTTCACAACGTAAACTAGATTAAAACTGAGGAATTCTGAGTTGATTGAAAAGGCAGAATATTATTGTACCTACTCTTTTTTTATGTATTATAATATATATTAATTCGTTATAGTATTACAGTAATTTATTAATTATAGTATTTTAGTATATTTTAGTATTAAAGCTTTGTTAAATTATGATGATAAATTCATTTTTATATTTAATGCTAAAAGTTTTTCAATGATTGAAGGACTTTTTAAATAATTAAGACAAATAGAATGAATTTTATAGTTTTATGTACATGTATTATTAATTTATTAGAATAAAATTATGTAATAATTCGGTGCTTTTACATAAAAACTGTCCAACTCGATATTCGTATATCAAATATGTATATTAAACAAGCTATTTGAAATCATTGCCTAAGTACTTATCTATAAGCAGTTTTCTTTATAACTTGAGAGATGAATGAAAGAGTGGTATTGATCAGATTAATGGCAGAATATGACCACAAAATATTCGCGAATATAATGTCTACCACAACCATTTGTCTTTAGCGCATAATATTATGCATTAATTAACACACTTAGGTAGCTTGATTAAAATTTGAGAACTTTGAATTTTCATAAATTTCTTCTTCTAATATAAGATATTGGATTTGTTATAAGAAACTTGCATTTGTATTAAGAGAGTAATCTTAGGATTTAAAGACGGTTTAAAGTCAATAAACTTTTTCTCTTCACCTCTTAATAATTATTATTAAAAAATGCAATCAAGTGTTAAAAATTCATCAAGTGTAATTTTATCAAAAAAAATTTTTTCTGCGGATGATTGAATTTCGTAAAACAAAATTTTTGTCTCCTATTATTTTATAATTTTTAATTTTTCATTTTAGTTACCACAAGTCCAAAATTATAAATTTATTAAGTCTGGTATGTCCTATTGTGAGTACTTTGTATGTATGTATGTAATTTTCGTAACCCTGATATCGAAATAACAAGACTAATTCTTGTTAAGAAGAGGAAGAAATGAAAAGTACGATTTAAAAATCAATATCGCGGTTTGAAATATTAAAAAATAAATAACAAGAACAAGATTCTCTGGTTAATTCTCTGGTTAGCCTTATCTTTTTCATAACTTCTTATATAAAATTATATATATATATATATATATATATATATTTAATTATGAATAAATATTTTTAAAGTCATGTGCTTTTATATATATTTATTTGAATTTTAAAAATGACACAATTCTTTAGGTGTTAATGGACTTTTTAATAAAAAACAAGACTAAAGTGAGAACGAAAAGGAAACTAAGAAACTTACAAGATTTACAAATATATTTATGAAAAATAGGTATATAGTACTCTATAAATTACTGCAATTGCAAATATATGTAATATTATAAATTAAAAAAATAAATCAAAATTGTTGAAAATCTTTCCATACAGCTGTGGTACAAAATGGAACAACATTTTCCATTGAATCATGATACTTGATTTTGATAATCAAAATCATTTCTTCACAAACATACGTTAAATATCGTGTAAGTCGTGTATCGTATATGTATGTTGTGTAAATTATGCGTTATTTTTAATCTGCTAGTACACGTAATAAATTATTGCAAAATATGAATTTAGATTACCTATAACAACAGCTAATCATCATCTCATTCAAAAAAATCAATATCGTATTATAGAATAAATAAAATGATGTAAAAAAAATTATTTTTTATAGTGGATCATTAAGGTCATGCATTTCATTTCATGCGAATTTAGTATGTATATGTATATAGAAACATGCGTGATTTCTATATAGAAAAGTTATGTACCTATAGAAAATTTTAAGTGATTGTTTAAAATACTAATTCAATATTATTCGAAATTAATAATTTTACATAGTTAAATTTCAGTGTTTCTTAATCAGATTGTCGAGACATGGTGCTAAGAGCCTTCCAGAAAGCTATTGCTGAGTAAATTGTCAGCACATTTAATTTACTTTTTTAAACTTTTTCGCAATTGAAATTTGGATAATAAAATTATTAAGTACAGTACACTACAACAGTACAAACGTATATGGTTTAATATTATACTAAACGGGAAAATGTATGGAAATCTCGCAAATATGACACATAAGAATCGATTGTGAGACAAAAACAATTTCATTAAATTTTTAATTGTAAACATTTATGCTGCGCGTCATTGCTATGTTCAATATATTTAATAGAAAATTAAAAAACAGTTTGAAGAGAAAAATTTTCAAATAGTTAATTTTCTCTTTTAAAAATTAGTTGTGAGTGTGCTTCTTAAATATTTGGTCCGAAATTGAACAAATATAGTAGCAAATCTACAAGCGAAACTTTTCATTAAGAATAAGTTAATATGAAATAATTTTGTTTGGTACTTTTCAATTAGAGCATCATCAATCTGATCACTATGTTAATCACATCAACTACATCAACAACTTTCATTTGCAAATGACTGTCATATTAAAATTTAATTCAATTATACTTTATAAATGAAAATATCTTTTTTCTCATTTCCCTTTTCTACATCAAAATCAGTAATTTTTAGCAATTAATATTTATAAATGCAGTAACACATTAATAAATTCAACAAAAATTCAATAAAAATGACAATCACTTGTGGTAGCAACAAAATCTGGAATTTGTAACGATAGACTTAAACTGTATTGGAATTCATGACCTTTGCAAGTTGTGTGAAAAAGACATTTGCTTGAGTGTGAAATATGTCAATAGGAGCAATGTCATAATTTATAAGTATGTTGTATATCGTCGGCCTAACAGTGATTTAACGTATCTGAAAAAAGTGTATTTTTCAGGAGATAGAAAAAACCTTATAATATAAATTAGTATTTTTAAAGAGACACTGAACTTGGCACTACATTTATATTGTATTTTTTGGCAGATACGTTTTCTCACAACAAATTTTTTCTGATACATTTTTTCGTTTTTGCTCTTTTTTTTTAATTTTTCATATGACGAAATTATTCATTTTGCCTATGTTTGTCTCTTTATAATATATATATGAATATATAATCAAAACCAAAATAAAAGTTTGATTAAAAGAGCGCCGCCGTCATGAATTTAAAAAATATTCTTTCAGTGTCACGAATTGAAAAAAAGTTTGAGAGCCATTGGTATAGATAGAGAATAAAATTACAATGACTGGCATATCTTCAATCAATAAATTTTTCATGTTTTTTTTTGTTTTTATATTCTCTTCAAATTTTTTTGTTAAAATTTCAACTGCTTTATCATCATTTTTCTTTTGTTTTCTTTTTTGAAAACTTTTATTCGGTTGATGATGAATGATTAAAATTGAATTGAATTTTTTTTTCTTTTTTGTATTTTGCATTTTGGCTATTATAACTTGAACTTGGCATTGATTCAAATCATTCTTTATGACATCATGAGCAAATTTGTACTCGTATGAGCAAAGAAAATTACAGCATGCCCATAAAAAAATTTTTATTACATAAAAAGAAATTCTTTAAAAAATGTTATTGGCATTTATTTGATTACATGTGCGTAACTTATTACAAGAAATTTTCTACAATTTTCATTTAAAAAATTGGAGAAAAAAAATAAAATAAATTAAAATTGTTAAAAAATTAAATGATTTTTAATGGAATTTTAAAAATTTTAAATTTAATACATGATTATACATGATTAGTTTTAGCACTTTTGCAAAAAAAAAAAATTTGAAAAAATGTGTTTATTAGCACGGCATAATTGAATGTAAAAAAAAACCAAAATAGCTGTTAAAATTAACCGTTACTTAAAACAAGTTCTTTTTATTTTAGGCAATAATTTGTAGGAGTCTGAAATTTTTGGCAGCTCTTAGATATTACCAAATAGTTTATTTCGTTAGAAGAAAATATTTTTTCACCTCCACTCCCTCTCAAGTTATTCCCGCTCGAAATTTGTAAAATTTGACTTTTCGCCATATTTCCGAAACTGCAAGCTTTTCCAAATTTCTATGAATGCAAAAAGTTAACCATAAATGTCATGCCATAAAGAAATATAATCATTTCTTTAAACTCACGAAATTAACTCTTAAATTCGAGCACTATGTTAACACTTCTTTTAATTTTATTTTTTTGGCTAATCCTAAATATATGCAATCTTTTAATTGAAATATTGTTGTGTATATATCAATGAAAGTAATTTTGATAAAGTAGTAGATTGTTTATTATAAAGCAATATAAGAATTTATTGAAGGGAAAAGTGCTACTTTGCAAGCCATTAG